GAGTCATCTACTACCAGTGGCTGCACCCCAACGTGCGGGCACAGCAAGAAGGTGGCTGTGATGAGGTGGATGCGAACGGGGGGAGCAATGGGCTGGAGTTCCGCTCGCTCTCGGTACCAGACCTCGTGAACAGGAGGATGCGGTGGCTGGCCCAGACCCAGTTCCCCATCTCCCAGCCAGCAGGGCAGCACTTCTTGAATGGGACTGCTGCTGTTGAGTCTGCTGTCTGAGGCCAGCTCCTCCAAACAGACTTTCTGGGGAGATAAGATTTGTTAGTCCTGCTCCCGATTCTAACTCCCAGGCTGTTGTTTTGGGCAGCTGAAGGGACCTGGCAGAAACCAGGGGTGAGGTGCAAGCACCCGGCGAGTCCCACAGCACACCGCATGGCTCCCATGGCTGTGCCCTTGGGGAGGGCCACAGTGTTTGTGGTGGGTCTAGTATGTGGGTGCACTGTGGTGTCAACTTCTTTTCTTATTTATTATTAGCTTTTTCAAAAAAAAAGACAAAAAGAGCAACTCTTTGTTCTCTGTGTTTGTGCCTCTCCTGTGCCTGCTGCTGGCATTGCCGCTTGGGGAGGTGGGTGCTGGTAGGGGAGAGCTTGTTCCCTCCTTGGCAGCAGCATTCTGATCCTGTTTCCAGCCAGGATCTTCCTCATTCATATGTTTCGCTGTTAAGGTCAAAGATCGCCTGTTATCACCACGTTCAGGGAGGGATGGGAAAGGAGGCAGGGATTCCCCTGTGCTGGGAGAGCAGTTGCCCTGGGGCAGCAGGGGTGGTGGGGAGGGTGTTGGGGGATGGTGCAGGATCAGGGCACGTGGGGCCTGTGTCCCTGCCTTCTGGCAGTGTTTTGCCCCTTCAGAACAGGGAAGCATGTTCCAGTGTGGATTCTCCATGGACAGAAGCATTGGTTCTGCCCTTTGCTACATTTTCTGGGTCCCTTTTGACCTCCCCCTTTCCACTATGGGCTGAGAGAGGAGCAGAGCTGAAGCTTCATGCTTGAAGCTGCTCTCTGGGGCCTGGGCTGCTGCCTCAGACTGTTGCTTTTCTCCTTCAAGCAGCAAATGCTGTTTGTGGTGTAGAGGCTGGCAGGGTGCAGCAGTGCCGTGGGACCCCATCCTCCCCGGCGGCACAGCAGCTGTGTTCTGGTCTATGGCTGCAGCACAGCTCAGCGCTTCTGGTTTATTATGGACACGTCATGGTGCTTTTGCTGGCATTTCCACCACCACACCCCGGGCGGTGCTCTCGAAGCCATGACCAGGCTGGAGTCGGCATGACCAGTTTCTCAGCCGTAGATGGCCTTTTATGTGGTTGGCGTGGGGCTGCGCCAGCTCCTGGGCACAGGCACCCACTGCTTCGCAGATGGGGCTGCCCCCAGCTTGGAGCCAAAACCCAAGCAGGCCCCAAAACAGCCACTGGCTCTTTTTGCTGTTGTCCAGCCAGCAGCCCCAGCACATCTTGGTGGCCCACAGCATTGGCCCTCAGCCCCTTCCCCTTGCCTCCATCACCCAGCCTCCCCATAGGACCCTGTCCCAGGAGGGGAACCCTCTGTACCAGGGAGGGCAGAGCAGGGGGAGGCAGCAGGATGGAGCTGGAGTAGTTGAAATGCTCATTTCGCAGCTCTTCCTATAACAAGATAAGCCCATGGCCAAGGACAGTGGCACCACAGCAGAGGCTGGGAGGAGGGTTGTTTGTTGGCTTTGTGCAAAAGAAAAAGGGAAGGTTTGTGCCAGACTATCCAAGTGCCATGTGCCTCTCCTGGGCACCACAGCAAAGACAAGGAGCCAGTACCTCCACCACTGGCTCCCACAGAACACTCCAGGGGATTGGGGTCTCCAGCAGCTGCTTTTGCCAGTGGCCTGTGGCACCATCACCCTGAATGCCACCAGTGCCACTGAGATCCCCCCCAGGCAATCACAGGGGACAGGCACCGACTGCAGGGCTGTCAGAGAACAGGCTGAAGCAGTGACTATAGAAAATAAAGACTTTATTTTTTTTTTCCAGTTCATAGGACAGTTCCCATTACACAGACCACAAATGGGCAAAGGCTCCACAGCCAGCAGTGCCTGAGGCTCACCCCTCTCCCGCTGCCGAGGGGTCAGTGGCGCAGCAAAGGCTGCTGTGAGCTCCAGCGTCCTGCTGCTGTCTGTGACTGCCAGCACAGACATCTCCCCCAGGGCTCTTGGAGGCAGCAGGTATTAGTGGTTCAGGTGTTAAAGCTTCCACAGCTCTGGTGAAGCTGGATGGGAGGCCAGCAGCACCCAGGCAGGGTTGGTCTCAACCCCCCAGGCCAGCAGGCTGGCTGTCATTCAGTCATTCAGGTTTGTCATCAGTTCAGCTACAGCTAGGTCAGGGGTAATGGAGAGCACGGAGACAGAAAATGCTTGGATAGAGAAGCTGTTCCTGCCACATGAGAGACAGGAAAAGTCTTAAATTCAGCCAGCAGAGGAAAAAATAAAATAGCCAGGTCAACCTTTATTAAACATAAACACAGAAATGTACCGTCAACCTCCTATTATAAAAGTACTTTACATACATTCAAGGAAACATCGTATAAATATCCCTATGAAATGTCACTGGCTGCAAGAGTTCCACACTCAGCTAAAATTTCGCAACATCTTAAAATTTCCTTAAAAGATTTTAAAGTGAACAAACACAAAGCAAAGCCAGCCAGCTGCCAGGCTGCTTGGTACCTTGGGTCCAGCACTCGCTGTGAGTGCCTGGGCAAAACACATCCCACTTCCCAGCATGGGCCAGCATGGCTCTCCTGCAAGCTGCTTTGGACATTAGTGAAGCAAAGGGGCCACTCAGCCATGCCAGATGGTGGGAGGTTAAGGCACAGGTTTTAATCCCAAAGTTCACCCAGCTGGAATACGAGATGTGCTCCGAACAGGCTGTTTCACAGGCTCAGACACCTCCCAAGCCTGCTTACAGGAGACCTTTGGAGGGGCTGTGGACCAGCAGAGAGATGTTCAGGATACAGCACAGACTCTTCTGTGACTGCAAGTAAGTCCTGATCTGCTGGAAACATTTCAGACCCTGGAAGCAATGGGGCTGCTGCTTGGCATGGCTCACTTCCTACCAGATCGGCTCCAGCTGTAGCAGTAACACCACTTCACAGGGACCCCAGATGAACTGGACTCTTTATGGACTCAGCAGTAAGGGAGCTGTAGTGCTCTAGATCTCTCCCTGCTCTGCACGGGGCCCACACTGCTGTGAAACACCAGCACACACCTACACAGGCTGCCCCAGCTGCATGGGAACCGCCCGGTAACACTCCTGAGCTCTGCACCTTGTGTATGCAGCAGATGAGAGAACATCCCCCACGGGCTCCTGCTTCTTTTCAAACCCTGCTGCTGAGCACTACACGAGCACATCCCCAGCTTGCTCGAGGGGCTCTGCTGGGCCCGCAGCTGCAAGCAGAGCGGTAGCTGTCAGTGCAGCCAAGAGACATTCCCTCCACTGAGCTCTTCAGTATGACCCGCAGCAGAAGTTATTGACTCCCCAGATTTTTCTAATGGGACGAAAGGTCATGTTGCTCGCAGGCAGCAGCTTCTACACAGAGGCATGCTCTTGATGCAGAGAGTTCCTGGGAAAATATGCAGACCCAGAGCGTCTGCCTGAGATCAGAGCACAAGGCCAACACCTAGCAAGGAGCTGTATGGAAAGCAGACAACTCCCAACTCTTGTGACCACCTTGAAGAAAGAAAATCTCCTCTAATTTTTTTTTTTTTTTTTTTTTAAAAGTGAAACTGGAGCTAGGAACATGTGAAACAGAGACCTGTGTGGCCAGTCCCTTAGCTCTGGGGATCCAAACCCCTTGCTCTAGGCACCTTCTCCACAATGGTGACTGGTGCTGGCCCAGGAGCAGACACTCCCAGGGCATGTGCTGCACTGGCTCAGCAACTCCTTCAGCACAGATGGAAATTATTCCTCAGTAATTAATGCCATGAAAGGAACGAGGCAAACACATCACCTGCTTCTGTGGGCACAGCCTGAGTGGGTCAGCATCCTCCCTGAAGTGACATGCTTTCAGACCAGTCTACTGTGGGGTGCCAGGCAGGTGACGCTGGGCTGAGACCACAGATCTGGAGAGGTTTGGGTGCAGCTGCAGTGTTTGGTTCAGCAAGCGCAGCAGAGGTGTGTGGTGGGAGACAGCAGACATCTGTCCTCTGTGCAGAAACCCCAGGCACCTGCTGATTTGGTGCCGTCGGCGTACAGGGAGGAGGCAGACACCACCGAAGACAGCCTGACCTGGCACAAAACCAGCGCCCTGTGCCAGCCCCCACTCTCCAGCTGGCTATTTCTGGCTAGTGGTACTGCAGGTCACTGACTCCAGTTTTTCTTCCTGAGATGGTAGCAAAAAAATCAGCGTAACCATCACTCCCAAAGCCAGCGTGCTCCAGGCTGCCAAGTCACAGCTTTAGAAGATTAAGTCACTCTTAATAAGGGTTTTGTTTCTAACTATGTAGTTAGGCTAATGCAAAGAATAATACAAGAAAATTGAATCTGATTCTACTAAAAGGAATTTACTCTCACAAATTAAGTCAGGAAAGCAGAGGTGAAGGTTAATAACTAGAGGTGAAGGTTAATAACCATACCCTGCTTTGTAACATTCATGAGGATTTAGTTCTCTCAAATTATTCCTAGTCCAGATGAGGACTGTTCACATCTGAGCAGTCTGCAATAGTGTTGTGCTAATGTTCATAGGCAGTTTTGTTTTCCTTTACAGGGAAAATCTGTGGGATCTATGGTCTGGGTCATGGATAGCTGGAATCCAGTGATCTCCTGCTTGTTAACAGGGCTTGTGCACACATTGACTAGAAGCAACCAGGATCAACTCAGAACACCAACGCTTTCCTCTGCAAGGAACCGTGTATCTCAGAAACGTTCTCTTATCTTTCTATTTTCCAGTAATCCCATGTTGAGGAAATAACATAAGGACATTGTAATAAATTAACTGCTTTGAACACCCAGGGAAGGAGAGAGGACACATTTCACAGCAATAGAGGTATTTTTGAAATTTTCATTAATATTTCCTATGAAAAAAAAAAACATAGCTCTTTTCGGCTTGTGAAACAAGGGAGGTTCAGCTCTGCCATCAGTATTTTTCTATAAAAATAAGGTTTTGTGTTTACTTGGTTTCTACAACTAAGCTGAATAGAAAGGAGAAGGCTCTTACAAACACTTCTGCTGTTGTATCACCCCCTCCCTCTGGAGACTACCTGCTAGAGGAATTCAGCTGGCTTCTGTAAATCTCTTCTTCAGACAAGCTCTAGATCTGCTGAGCCTAGTGCTTCTTTATAGGACACCTTTGTCTTGGCAGGGCTTGTGCTCCTGAGGAAATGACCTGGTGTCACGTTCTACTGTACAGTTCGCATTAGGTATGTTTTCTTCATCAAGCTGAAAAGTGAGTCCCCAAATGCCTCCCAGTGCTGGAGAGGTCTTGCAGGAGCTGCAGCCATGCCTTTGCTCCAACTTCTTACAGGAAGTCTAACTCGAGGGCTTGGTGAAGGGACACGAGGTCTGCATGGTTTGTGATCCTCCAGAAAGGCATGTTGTGCTGTAACAGAGATGACAAAGTCAGGTTTATCAAAGTGATTTCACAGCTAGGTGCAAGCAGCCCAGGTACAGCTGTAGGGCTGTGCAATACAGTGTTTCTGACAGCACTATCTCAGCATACCGTGTTCAGGAAGGACCTCAACCATACGCACATTGGTATCTGAAGCCTATCTTATCTGCACATCTGTTTATGACGGGCACCAGCACTGACTATCAGCTGCTTTTGCATGCTCATGATAGAAACCTCAGCACTCAGCTGTGAGCTGCTGCTTCACCCAAGAAAGCCTTTCCAGGGCTCCCAGGGAACCTGAGTAGATGACAACTCTGGCATGTGGCAGACAGCGTGAAGCCTGCAGACATGTCCTGACAGTAATCTGTGCACTTCATTGCCTTTAGTTAGCATGACTGAACAACCTATTCAGGCTTGTCCAAATCAATCCAACTGTTTGCTCCTTGTTTGTGATTCAGACTAATGGTAGATGCTGTGTATTGATCTGACTGCTGGCAACCAAGTCCTGACTCCCTCTGTGCTTCTGAGAAATTGCATTATCCTAACTGATAGCTGCATGCTATGATCAAGACATGCTATATCAAGATAATGTTTTGCAGGGACAATGTTCTACGCAATCCTAAATCACAGTAAAACAGAAACTTTAAACCCCCAAGAGACAGAAAACTCCCCATCTTAACATAATGAAAGATCTCTTGCATCAAAGGCAAAGCTTCCCCCTGGCTGCCCCAGACTGAAGAGTTCAGCCCTGGAAAAAGTCCCTGCAGAAAAAGACTGCTGCAGTAACTTCCCTTTGCATCAACCCACATTCCACCTTTGCAGAGTCAGAAACCCACCTGCTTAGCTGCAACCTCTTCATCACGCCCATCTCCAATTACCACATAGGTGACTTTCTTTCCAAATCGTGACACGATCCTCTCAAAACAGCTCTCTTTACCTGCCAAAAGACAATCCCATGATAATGAGTCTTAGACAGAAAGTAACAGAAGCATGAACTGGTCCCTTCTTCCCAGTATAGAAACACATTATTGTCTTACTGGGAAGGGGTTAACACCCAGTTCAGGTCATGGGGCCAGAAGCCACCACTATTACATGACCAGCTTGGACCACAGCAGCCACCGGCACTGCTCAGCTGCAGAAATTGTATTTCCTGTGTAAAAATCCCGGCTAATCCACAGCAGATGTCTCAGTGCCAGGTACTCAGCACAACCCCTTACCTATTTTTGTAGCACTATAAATATTTTCGATGGGAAACACCTCGCCCAATCCATACAGGAGAACTTTGGCAAGAGCTGGCACCAGTTGGGTGGTAGTGATCAGGATGTTCACACAGTTTTTTCTAAAAGAAGAAAAACACTTGTAAAAGGGGTAATGGTTTTAAACTAAATGAGTGCAGACTTAGACTAGATCTAAGGAAGAATTTTTTCACAATGAGGGTGGTGAAACCCTGGCCCAGGTTGCCCAGAGAGGTGGTAGAGGCCCCATCCCTGGAAACATTCCAGGTCAGGTTGGACGGGGCTCTGAGCAACCTGATCTAGTTGAAAATGTCCTTAAAAGGTCCCTTCCAACCCAAAGATTCTATGACTCCATGAAAAGCACATCTACAGCCAGTGGTGCCAAGGGCTACTCTGGGCAGCTTGCTCAGCTTTCCAATGTGCCATATGCTTTGCTGTCCTGCTTTCAGGAGGCTTTTTAGGCCAAGAATTTGATTTGTGGTTTTGGTTTGTTTGCTTTTTGTTTGAAACATAAATTCTGCTGCAGTAATGCAATTTTGCAAGCACAATCCTGTTACGGGGACCTTCCTAACAACAGATACTGCATCAGAAAAATCCCAAAGGGTGCTCAAGAGTGGAGTTCCACATGGTTTAGTGGCCATGGTGGTGTTGGGTTGACAGCTGGACTTGGTGATCTTAGAGGTCCTTTCCAACCTTTATGATTCTACGATTCATTTCTATGGACACTTGCAACACAGTATTGCATGCAAATCTAAGCGAGAGAAAGGTCTGAGAAAGCCATATACACACTTCCAGTTTCCATACCTGGACTGTATGAGTAGCAGGGACTTCAATGCAGTTTCCAGCCAGGAATCCGTTAGCACTTCTATATCGGTCCTTAGTCGTTGCAGGGCTTCCCTCTTCTGTGGGCTAAGAAGGCCTGGAAGGCAAGTAACACAAGTTTTCCCAGCTGAGTTGGCAAGTCTAACAAAGCGAGAGCCATCACTCAATTTAACAGCTGCCTGTTCTGCAATAAATAACACGGTACTGAAGACATCTGAAAGCTGAGACAGTCTCAAGGCAAAGGGAGAAACCAGCTTCCAGTGACACAGGTGATCCCAGACACCCATCTGTGACTCTGACTGTGGGGAAATGGGTAGATACTTTTCTCTAATAATTTCAAACCATTTCTGAGGATATGTGCAACAAAATGCATTTCTCTTGTACACTACAGCAGTAGGTGTTGTCCAAGGCTGCAGACAGCAGGGGAAGGAACTCCTGCAGTCACCCTCTCCGACTTCCTATTTCCCAAGGACCCTTTCCACTTTGATCCCTTTTAGATAACTTTTTGAATCTCCTTTTTTATCCCCATATTTTTTATCCCTTTTAGATAAAATTTTCTCAAAGCATCTGGGTTTGAATTAAAAGCAGCCAGAAATGGAGCCCATAGACTCAAACCTGCTCCCGTCAGTAAATACAAGGAAGGAGCACCTTGAGTCTGAACCTTTCTCCACGCAATTTCCAGCCCTGACGTATGAAACCCCCACTTCACTCCAGCCCTGAAGTACACTAGTCCTCTGACAATGAGGCCACGGAGGGACCCATTGAGGGCTGCACTGACAACTGCTTTACCATGTGGATTTTGACAGGTCCTGAAAAGCTCTGCATCCAGGTTTCTCACGTGCAAAATACGGAATAATGGTCTGACCCCTACCAGAAACAAGGTAATTGCAGCATACTGAAATGCAGACTCACACTGATATATTTTTAAGGATGAAAGTTATAGTTTTGAACACCTGGGTTTTAGAAAATATGTCCAAGAAAACGTTCTATCAAGTTGTTTTTTTGCTTAGGCAAAGGGTACCCAACCCCACAACCCACCACAGTCCGAGTCACCCTGCCAGGTGAGCTGCTCCAGCAGCACCTCTTTCCCAGGGATGTCAATGCCAAGATTCAGACTAAACAGAAAATTGATCTACGTTTGATATCTGCGGTTTGCATCATTATTACTACTTTCGCATTGGAAGGCAAGCAAAACTAGAAGATTTTAAGTGACTTTGTGAACAGATGGTAGAGATGTCATGTCAGACTATAAGCCCAACAGCCAAAAGGGTGAACACTGTATTTCTTGACAATGGCATGATAAAAGACCGATTTTGTGCAGACACAAGTGAAAAGACCTCCTAAGCAGCATGACATGCAAGTAATTCAGACCCATTCTAAGCAGAGTGACAGGCAGCCTTTCATACAAAATTAGCAAAGGGATGCCGTTTGCACCAAAATTTTCTCTTATGTACATGATTGACTGACCACCCCAATCTACATGATAACTCACAGACTCCACTGGGCACACCGTCCAGTTTTGGAAGATGCACCCTCTTAGATTCCATGGAGATTTCATCCCATTTAGCACTAGGAGAATGTTACTTTTCATGTCCAAACACTCAGGAAAGCAAAAGCTCTCAGGAAGGATGGAGTCTGGCACCACAAACCCTGTGTAGTGCTCAGATACTGGTGCAGGTGAACACTCACCTCCAACGTTAGTTTTGTATTTGTCGTAGATCTCTCGTACCCTGCGGTAGCGGAAGGCCAGTTTCCTCATCCAGTCTACTCCACCCTGGACACCAACTGATGAGCTGTGATTTGTGTTACTTCCTGAGCCACTGAAGCCATCCGTGGAGAAATTGTAGTTGCTATTTCAGAGAAGCAGATCTGTTACATGTGCCACATTAGCAGAATCACTGCAGCTTTTCTGGAGGGATTGCAGACTTCAGCTCTGACAGCAGCTAGGAAGGCACTTTGGAGAGGAACTCTGCACAGCCACCACTGCACTCCAACAGCAGAGAACAACTTCTACAGGCAATGTACTCTGATATCCAAATACATTTGCTGCCAGTTCTGAACTGCTGTACTGAAATGTACTGATTCAATTCTTCTTTCACACCCTTCGCTACAAAACCTTCCTTTGCTCTTTGATGGCTCATTCCTCTGCAATACAGAGCATCCTTCCCACTAACCCCCTTCTCATCCTGCAGTGATAAATCCCAGCATAGTATTTTTCAAACATAACATCTATATCTTTACATCACAGCTGCAGCTCCACAAGCAGATGAGCTGCTTTACCAGGTCCTGCTTCACCACTTTCCCCATATTCCTTTCTCCCAGACAGACAGGGACTTCTCAGACCTTCCCATGAGCCAGTTCAGCTCATTAATGCAGCAGAAAATTTACTCTCAACCCACATGATAGTGTACACAATCATCTCAGAGGGATGCAAACCACAGGGAGACTGAAGGTTGAGATCATGAAGTTTGGAGTGTTGGTCCTCCATTCATGACGTCATTGAGCACATAGGCAACATTCAACAGTGGACAATGTAATTCACATTGTAATTCCAAAAGTCTTAATGTTTTGTAAGTCTACAAAGAAATACCACGCAGCAAACAAACACCGTTTGCCAAATTTCATCCCCTGCATATTGCTGACCTCCATTCCTTGCGGGCATTTGGTTTTGCAGTCCCCACAAAAAACTACATCAGCTATAGATTTCATGCATTCATCAGTACACCACCTTAAATCTTGGCCATTGTCATCAGAAGCCACATCTTCTATGTGTACCTGGTCACACTCCTGTTTAAGAAAAAAATAAAAATAAAGTCACACTGTTGTAATCCAGAAACATACTGAAATTTGCAGATTAAAGAAAGTGTGATATAAAGCAATCCCCTCACATTTCCCAATAGCAACAGGCTACTGTTGCTGCCTCCAGAAACCTACACATAGCTTTCATTAGCTTTGTCTTCCAGTACTAGGTTTTACTCTACAGCACCTACAGGTCCTTGCCAAGACTGAGATTTGACGTAGCAGAAAAGTCTCAACAAAGCATGTTTCTATGACATTTCAAGTTGTATGTAAAAAAGGAATTTTGACACTCACTGAATAGGTTGGACTCAAAGCTCACTTGTCATTTGAAATCCTTTTGCCATTTCACAAAAACAAACCAAACAAAAAAACAAATACCCCAAACCCACATTATCTGGTCAAGTATTGATACTGCACTTCATCAACACATCTGTCAACTCCATTACTGGAGAACCACAGCACAAACCCTGGAGTGAAACTGCCGGGGCTGGTGCTTAGCACAGCTGATTTAACCCAGAGATAAACTGCAAACACATGAGGACAAGACGTGAATTTTCCCCATTTCAAGAATTTCCCACTGCTGCTACTAACCAACATCTACAGCAATAAGTTTTGTTGTGGATCACACAGTTAACATATCAATGACTACCTTTCCAGCACAAAAGACTGTACTTGGTGGTTTGTTTGTTTTTTTTTCTGGGGCAGGGAGGTAACTGCCCTTATCACCTTTGAAAAGTTCACAGCTGCAAGCAGTCACAGCCACAAATGGAAGCTTCATTTAAGTTTCTATTTGCATCAACAAAAACATCTTGTTTTCCCACGATGTACATCAGTGATGTCCCTACAATTAATTGTTCACTGTTCATATTCAGCCTTCCTAAGCTTTAAACTAGTCCTGTAAATTCTGCAAACTAGGTCCATGAGTCTATATTTGTAGACCCATATCAAAGGTGACATGAGTCAGGAAATTTGCTATTTCTAACCATTTAATTCCACATTCTGGCATAAATTCACACCTTCCTGTATAGATGACATTACTGTGTCCATTACTGTCTGATAATACAGCATAGCACAGCATACAGTATTGCCATGATTGTAAAGCAAAGATTTATATTCAACTTCTGTGGAGGCAAACAGTGAGATGTATTTAATTTGGCAAAGAATACTGTGCATGAAAGAGGATGGGAGCTCGGATGGGAATGGGAGAGCAGCAGAGAGCGCCTGCAGGAAAGGAAAATGGAGGGTGCTGTGGGACCTCCATGTGTACAGCCTGCTTGCCTGTGGAAGCGTGTCCTTCACAGTTGTTACACAGCCAATGTAACCTACTGAGACACCGGCTGAGACGCACAAGTTGTATCCTGCCCTTGGCTTAGTCAAAGCCCCTGAGAACTGACATTTTCAGGGTCACCTGTTTCCCCACACCTTTGGTCTCCATTTCAAAACAGGAGAAAGAAAAGTGCTTACCAGTCCAGAAGGAAAATACAAGATAAAGCAGACATCACTCTTAATTATACAGGTTCAAGTAGAAACCCGTAAGAGAGCTAAGAGAGCTCATGACACTAGAAGTCTGCAGAACATCTGCCTCAGATAAAAGAGTACACCTCTTTGATTTGATTGTGCTTAGAACCACTTCAGTTTTGTCAGACTGTTATGTTTCAGTATTAAGTGGCTCTGAAGCACAATGGCCCTCACAAATGGTGGAGTGTAATTCTAACAAAGTAATGTGGAGTTTTGCCTTTCAAAAGCATTTGCCATGTACCTCCAAGTCATTGAAAAACAAGTGAGTATCAGCTACTTCAAAGATCATCTCCTCCATTGACAGACCTGAGCCAATCACTAGAGTTGGATCCTGGCAAAACAAAAAGAGAAAATGTAAATTCATTGTGGTTACAGGCACATAAATTTTTCATCAGTTACATTGCAGTTTCCACTGTATATCAAGCCTGATGTAATTGCATCTGCATTCAGTGGTGTGAACTACAATTTCCATAGTATTTTAAAAAACTTGATTAAAACAAAAATCCACATTCTGGTAATACATTGACACAAAATGTAACAAAACACTTCAGTACTGCATAGCAGGAACTGATGCATTTTCAGAGGCAATACGAACAAAACATTCAAAAAATCTTCAACATATTTTGAAGTATTTTGAAGGAGAAAAAATACTGCCTTTAACTATGTGCTATGACCTCAATAATTCCCAATGATGATACATTTTAAGACTTGATTGTTAGAAGGGAAGTGTTTGTGAGGTCCATATCCTTAGCTCTGTATAAAGCCAAGTGTAGTGTTCTTTCCCTGCCCCAGACTGCCAACGAGTTAGAAGTACCACCTTATGCATTTAAAACAAAATATAATTTTCTATTCCTTTTCCAAATATTAACATTTAATTCTGCATGACAGATATGGTTTTTCTTCCACAGAAAAGACAATATTACCTTGCCATATTTTTGAGCGTAAGACCCTGTAAGAAGTGAATGGAAGATTATGATAGTTTCATCCAGGTCCCAGAGAAACACTCGCTGCATAAAGAATAAAAGCAGGTTAGAGTTGAGATATTCCAAGCACTGAGCTACAATAAAGGAGCAAGTTTTAGGGTTTTTTTTGTGGTTAGTTGCAGTATGCTTTTAACAGGTATGAACAACAGTATTCATCTTACAGGCTGAACACATTATTAAACTCTTTCAGTTTATCGCAGTGGAATTTGTATACTGCTACAATGCAGCTACGCAGTCAGAATAAGGCTCTCTTCGTCAAACTATTTCAAAAGCTTCTCTTGCTTTTATAGTTAAGAGCGCTAATGAACTTTAGAGCCTTGCTAGGGTAGACGTTTACTGTCTGTGATCTGGAGAGCACCAGGTAAATGACCTTGGTGTTTATCAGAGACCCCTTTGTTATGATAAATAAGGGGGATTGGCTGCCATGAGGAATAGCAGAGTTTCAGTACAGAAGGACTTTGATAAACTTGAGAATGGGGCCAACCAACCCCTGCAGTTGTTCAGTAACTGCAGATTCTGCATGTGGGGTAGAATAACCCCTCATATTGGTCCAGGCTGGAAGGAGCTGATGGGTACAGCAGACATCAGGTGCAGTATGAGCCAGCAGCGCACTCTCCCTGTGGATAAGACAAACGGCATGCTGGAGAATACAAAGTGTGCCTAGTTGACAGAAGGAAGGTGCTGTCTCATTGTACTTGGCACTGGGGATGTCACCCCAGATTGCACCCCCAGTTCCAGAGGTGTGTGAGGAAAGTAGAGAGCGGCCAGCAAAAGGCTGTCGAGACGGCCAGCAGCCTAGAGGAGAGGCTGAGGGAGCTGTGACTGTTTACCTCAGCAAAGAGGAGACTTAGGGTGATCTAGTAGCAGACCACGACTAATTGAAGAGGAACAGCAAAAATGATGAAGACAAATTCTTCTCAGTAGTGACAGGTGGAAAATTGCCATGGAATAAGAAGGGGAAATTTGCAGCTTGGGAGATTCCAGTTGGAGATAGAAAACCTCCTTCCCCGGGTGGATGTGGTACTCCTGGGGCCCATCACTAGACAGTAAAGGATCTCCAACCCTGGAAATTCTCAAGATTCAGCTAGACAAAGCCATGGTTTTAGTGCTGGGGACAGCCCTGCTCTGAGCAGAAGGCTGTACTAGAGACACCCAGATGTCTCCTCCATTGATGCCACTATGATTCCAAGACACATTTAAGTGATGCTTGTCAAGGACCACTGAAGAACTCATTTGGGCCAGTTCTCAGATAACATTAGTCATGGGCATTTCCCAAATTCTCTCTCACTACAGGAAAGACATGGATCTGTTGGAGGCGGGCCAGAGGAGGCCACAAAAATGATGAAAGGGATGGAACACCTGTCCTATGAGGACAGGCTGAGAGAGTTGGAGTTGTTCAGCCTGGAGAAGAGAAGGCTCCGGGGAGATCTTATTGCAGTCCTTAAAGGGGGCTTAGAAGAAAGATGGGGACAGACTTTTTAGCAGGGCCTGTAGCAACAGAACAAGGGGTAACAGTTTTAAACCAAAAGAGGGCAGATTTAGACTAGATCTAAGGAAGAAATGTTTCACAATGAGGGTGGTGAAACCCTGGCCCAGGTTGCCCAGAGAGGTGGTAGATGCCCCATCCCTGTAAACATTCCAAGTCAGGTTGGACGAGGCTCTGAGCACCCTGCTCTAGTTGAAGATGTCCCTGCTCATTGCAGGGGTGTTGGACTAGATGACCTTTTAAGGTCCCTTCCAACCCAAAGATTCTATGATTCTATTCTATGCAATGCTACCTGTAGAAAACAAGATTACTACTTACCTCCAGTTCACTGTCCTGTGAGGAGGAGGTATCTGCTTTCCTTTTCCCCCTGTTCTTCCCGGGGATGTTTTTTCTTGCCTGCTCATCTAACTCTTTACTTGCTGTTGCTCTTGATAATGAAGGACTTGTGGATGCATCTCCTAGAAAAAAGAAATCACACAGGTCTCATCACCTCATGTTTCAAAACAAATACCAACATAAAACTTAGAGCATTTGGCCACAGACCTCCTTTGCAAAAGGCAAGATGGTATCTTGCTTTAACGATGCAGCAGTTGAACCCTTATTAGAACATAAAACATGATTTCTTTGTCCCATCATTTCAAAACAGCTCTGTCTTCTCAATTCAGTCTACCAGGACCGAGCTACTTACTGCATTCTGCCTGCAGTAGAAAGCCAAAGACAGAGCACCCTCCCTCCTAAGGCGTGTAACCCCTCAGATGTCTCACGACCCTGGAACTACTTTATTTCTCAATTGTTTCTTTTAATACTTCTTGAGAGAGCACCAGAAACCCTTGGTTTGCGATGAGTGTACAAAGGAAAGTATTTAACAATGCTCCTCTGTCCCACGTTTCCCGGAGTAGTCAAATGCCTTTTGTGTCAAGCGACACTATACAAAATATGCTGTTTCCACCTCCAAACACACTACTCACTCCTATGCCACTGTAAGCTTTTGACTAACAGTTAAACAACAGTCAGTGCACAGAGTTATCTGGAGTGTGTTAATCACACACCAATCCACAGTGTGCTAACTGTGAAACAGACATAGACTACAGCTCCACTGGCCTAGCCAAGAATCAGTAAAGAATAACAGAGATGATCTCAGCCCTGGAGACACAGACTTGGCCAAGCACCATGGCCATGACTGATGGGGATACATTATGGAGCCACTCTGCTACTGGTAAGAACACCTTTCCCAGGAAAAGAGTAAAGCAACACTATTAAAAAAAAAAAAAAAAAAAAAAATCAATGTTTTGATGTGAAGAATATTACAATCATGATGGGAGATACTCTCTAAATCCTTTATTAACAGTTCAGGCAGAAGAGTTAACATCCCAGATATCTGCCTAACTAGTTCAGAAATCGGACCAGAACTGCAGTGGTAAGGCAGAGGGCACAGGGGACTTGAAAGAGCTTCAATTCAGTCTGGGTCTTGAAGAAGAGACATTGCAAATCCTATGAAAATTCATGCAAAATGGTGAACTTGGTGTATTCCTGAGCTAAGAAAACGGCACTGAAAACATTAACAACTGGGCCATTCCCTGGTCAGTGCCTTGAAATAACAGGTCAATTCCTTAGGTTTTCAACATCAAATAAGAACACATTCTCATGGGTAAATCTGCTGCTTCTCACCCCAACTAGAGGGCACCTGTTTCCTGAAAGAGGGAAAGTGCTTGAAGCACCATGCTTTTTGATTTACAACATCACAGTGTGGTGTTTGTCATGCCCTGTCTGTAGCATCCCATAAGGTAAAGATGAGAGGTCTGGAACTTCACTGAGTTCAAAATTGTCGATTTGGGTGCTTTGCTCACTGGCAGCCACCCATCCTTGCTTTCAGGTTTCAAGAGCCAAGCATTACCAGAGGAATGTCTTTGCACTGTCCGCGTAGGCACCATGGCGTTTGTTTTTTCGGTTGGATACGTAGCTGTTGCTAATGCAGTACTCTCCGTGTTGCTGTCTGCTGGTGTTACAACTCCAAAGCCAGAACTTGGGTAACATGTCTGGTACTGACTTTGGCCGAGGATCGTGTACGTAGGATATTCCTGCTAGAGGAAAGCATCGGTTATGATAGGACACTTCTTAATATAGAAAGTTTTCTGAAAGATGACTTTTATGCTAGAATATGTCTCTCAAAGACAAATCCCAGCAAGACCACAGTCTGACTTTATGCCATTTCTTTCTGCTTACATAAGACATCCCAAAAAAAGGTCGAGAGATCCAACTTCCCAATCGGACAGGCAGGTTCTGCAGACAGGAGGCCAGCAATCACAAGGCCACTCCTCTGCCTCCAGTTTCTTCAAAAATGATGTGACAGGAACAGGGGAGTATCAAGTGGATGCCATGGCATCATCCACACTGTGTTCTGGAATTTGTGGTTTTGTCTTGTATTTTACTTCCTGATACCAGATGTACTGATAGCAACAGAAAGTGGTCTTGGCACTGGCTGACCGTGCAATCCTGGCCACAAGAGCTCCAGGATAAACCGCATTTACTCATGTCCTGACTTCAGCAACCAGTTATTTTGCATGCTGTGATGAAAGATATCCATGTATGAAGACTATTTACTCCTTTAGGAGATCACCAAGCACCTGAAGCTGTTCTTGAGGATTTTAATTTCTTTTACTGATAGTAAAGAAAGCAGCCACCCCAAATGTCATGTCACACAGTGCACTCCCAATTCCCTCAAAGAGTAACCTGGATTTGTGAACCAGGTACCTTGGTCTGCACTACTGAAGGAAAATTTCTCCCCTTACAGCTCCAAGCAAGTTTACGTTAATGAAAGTACCTTAAAAAGCAACAGCATGAGCATACAAGGATTTTTGTGCATCCATTGCATTTTCCACACTTCCTATATTCTCTTTCTGCAAAAGTTGTGACACTGAAGGGTTCCTTTGTATAGCTAAATATTCAGAATGGCAGTTAACGACTGACAGTGCTGTGTATTACCCACAGCAGGTCAACAGTCAAGGGGAAGGGCTCTGTGCTGGCTGCAGGGCTTTTTTTTACTTTGTTTTAGTCTAGCACCATCAGAATGCATCTCCTACCCTACTGGGGGGTTTTTTTGTTTGTTTTGTTTGTGTACAACCTATTTTCCTTTTCTTGCTGAGGGAGAACAAAGGCATTCAAAAAACATCCACCTATAATCCTCCCTGTAGGTTTGGTTCTCAAAATAGCTCTATTGTTTCTTCTCCACCGTCTCTCTTGCAGAGATCTCAGTACCCTGTTTAAGATTCAGTACACAGTCTGCAGACAAGGAAACAGCTTTGAACAGATGAAGTGAGTTTGCTGCGAAGGCCGAAGGGAAAAGCACCGTGGTCAAAGAGACAGCAAGAGTTACATACTGAGCCCTATAACTCTAGCACCCGTTGTGCTCCATTTGAAGTGATGCAAATATTTGGCCTTCCTTTGTTAGTTTTGAGTAATGTGTTAAACGAAGATGAAGTAGATGCTGCCCATAAATATAACAAGGAAGTAGTTTTACCTGTGAGATGCTGGCTACTGCTGATGTGGAAATATTGACAACAGTTGAGGATGTGGAGACTGGACTGGCATTGGTAGTTGATGCTGTAAAATTAAGAATTACTGCATTAAATGCTTCCAGAAAAGCACAAGAGACAAGACCAATCCAAGCTGGATAAGTACTTACTAGGCTTATGTGCAAGCATTTGTGCTTCCAGCAGCACTCTGCTTGTAACAGCCAAAAAAGAGTTGGGCTATATTTTGAAACCAGTTACATTGCAACTGAGCTTACAGGGACGGAGAGCTAGCATGTCTTCAAAAACAGTACTTTCAAATGGTTGAAAAACTTTTTCCCTCCACACCTGCTAAGCAATTGGAGTAAAGTTTGTAGTTTCACATTGTTCCTAGAAGTTTTGAGAAAACCACAATCACATTCTGATGTTCAATCATTAGCAGTTGAAAATGAGTAAGAAGAAAACAGTAAAATGGATATGAATGTGTTTAAATTAGTTCTGATTAAAAGTATTCTCTCTGCATTGGACTGAGCATATTTAGACTAATTATATACAAAAATTTAAGGAAATAGTGAAAATATTTCAAATAGTATAAAAAGGGCACTTCCTACTGGAGAAAGTGAACATATCTCCCTATATCCCTGTGATACTACAATTGGTTTTTGGATGAGACTTTCTAAAATAATTTGTCAACAGCTTGTAGGACAAATTATTAGAAACATGTAGTTGTTCAGATTAATTTTAAGATGTTTAATAGCGTTCATGTCCCTGCATTCACTTCTTCCAAAACACAGAAAAGACTGCTAGAGCCTCTTCTTGGAACACCAGTCATTTAGCAGATTTTGTGATTTTACAGCCACAGGGCCACTCCATTAACCATTACTCCACATGGGGTTTCAGGACCCTCAAGGATTAGTGAAAACAAATAATGAAATCAGCATGAACAAAATCAGGATGTACTAAACCAGGTGCCACCAAGAAATATTTTCTTTTGCTAAACCTTCTTTCTCTGCACATAAATAAAACCAAAAATCACTTTTAGATGCTTATGAAAAGGCTTGCAGAAATCCAGAGTATCACCTACTTTACCCTCCCTCCAAGAAAAGCCCTCACTTTCTGCAAATAACACCCATGTGGAATTCACCCCAAGACTGAAGAACTCAAGCTTCTGAAGGCTTCAGTCTTTCTACCCCAGGGAAAGTTTTTTTTTGGAAAGAGACCCCACCATGAACTCTTAATCAACGTATGTTGTGTTATGGCAAGCACAGATTCTACCTGGTGAATGGCTCCTCAAAAGAGGAATGCATCTGAAATATGCCTCAAAAAAGATGAAAAACAACAAAAAAAAAGTATCTTAAGCGCAGAAATACACAGTATTTACAAGAGGTGAGAAAGGTGAAGAGTGGCATCTCTGCAGAAGCAAAAAGCAAGGTAAATAATTAGCCCCTGGGAATCCCCTCATAGATAGTAGTGTTCAAAAACAGATGGGAGAGAATTCTGGGGGGGAGAACATTTAGAAAAAGGAGAAAAGGCTGCACTAAACAGCAATAATGGTAATAAAGATACTCAAGTACCTACAGTAGCTATACAGCTACTAGAAACACAGCTGTGAGAGTAAGGTGCCCATTACAGATACTACGCATAAGCAACTGCTAGTGAACAGGGGTTAGTTTCCAAATACAACTCCTTCCAACTATACATGTTATGGAAACAATCAAGGCTGTTATTACCTTAAGAAAATATTACTTCCTAGGTCACTGTGAATTGCAGCTCTCCAGAAAAGACCCTCACTAATGCAGAACAAATCTGCTGTGAAGCTGGAGGAGATGAACCATCTAGAAGACAGATTATTCTAACATCTCTCTAAGATTATCACAGAGAGGAAACAGAAAGCGATTCTCATCTGTAGTACTCTGAAGAGGCTGCTTCTCCACTGAGATAGATAACAGAGTTAAGAAATTACAGAAAAAAAGATTCCAGCTGCCGGGGTTCTGGTAAAAAAACAGATTACCTCATATGAACTTTATTGTTTACCTTAACTCTGGTTTCCTTCCAACATTTTTTTTTATTTTATTACCTTTTATCTATGCAGTGTTACACATCAGATCTTTACAAACAGCTCCCACTGGACAGATTAACCAACTCTTTCTGCACTGTGCCTCAGTTCCTTTTACCTGTGAATGGGCCAAAAACATGCAAAAATGTTTGGCATGGATGTACCAAAAAGGACTGCTTCATGGTCTCAGGTTTAACAGACCAGCAAACACAAGTTTGAAGTTGCTGTGGCTCTTTCCTCTTCTCCATTTCCAGAGCTCATCCTCAGACCTTATATCCCTGCCTCCCTCTGCCTTATTCAGCCCACTCAGTTTTGCTTCAGTTGTTTTCAAAGTTGTTGCAACCTGCTTCATGTGCTGGGAAGGGAAATTGCAATTAATGCATTTTATGTTTCATTTGGCTGCTCTGCTCTCACAGGGAAGGAAGAGGCAAGGCAAGAAGCAGCCATTCCTCCCACATTGCTCCCAGCACTTCCAAGCGCCTCTGCGACGTACCACCATGGACACAGCTCAGGTGAGTACAAAAAGTAAAATCTTCAGTCACTAAGTACATCTCACCATTTACCAGGGTTCAAATATCACATTAATTCAGTCCAGCATTTGCAGACTAAACCATACCCATGCACTGAAATACACCTCTGGTGGGACAGTAGCGTTGTACAACTGTGTATCATGCTACTATTTTGATCGGAGAGAAAAGATTTTCAAGAGGTTACTATCAAAGCAACTTTGTCCACCCTTCTAGGTCCTGCTCCACCACCTCCCTTACACCAGCCCAAGTACTGAGCTGACCACTCAGTGGCTGCTTGCTAATTTGACGAAAAGGAAACATAGCAAATCCAAAATAGGTAGAGTTTCCTGCCAGTTTGCAAAAAGTTTTTCAGAAAAGTGATAGCATTTACACAATTCAGGTGACTTTTTCAAACTTTCAAAGAGCAGCCTGAAGGGAAACTCTCCTCAAATCACACATTCTCACAGCAGTGCGGATCAAATGTTTCAAAGTCCTTCTGCGGAGCGAGGCCCAATGGCAGCTCCGTCACCTCACCAGCCCCCAGGGATTCGCGTGCTCACCGTGGCACACCGCTGGCAAACCTGCCAGGGGTCATGCTATACAGAACCGTTTCTGACTCCAGGCAATTAAAGCTGGTGCAATAAAATTTTATCATTCATTCTGCCTGTGGGAGTACCTGTAGGAGACTTATGTTTGAAGGAAGGTAGTATTTCCAGTGTTGCATTGCTCATGTTATGAGCGTGAAAAGTAAATTAAGGATAAACATTACGCTGGGCCATTTACGGTTACAATGATGCAAGCTGAGCAGGTACCATGACATACTGCACAGCCCTACCTATCAGTGAAAGAGATGCTAAAACCCACCGATTGCTAATTTTAAGAGTTACTGCCCCTTTACTTGGCACTCATTAGACCACATCTGGATACGGCATTCAGTCTGGGGCGTCAAGCACAAGAAACACGTTGATAAAATTCAGCGGTTCTTGCACTGAAAGAGCCACCAAAACAGGGAGCTGCAGCACGTGCCCTGCAAGGGGCAGCTGCAGGAGCATCCAGCCTGGAGAAGAGGTGGCTTTGGAGGACCTGACAGCAGCTTGCTGGTACCTGCACAGAGGTTATCAAGACGACAGGCTCTTTTTGCAGGTGCTCGGCAGCAGGAGAGAAACAGTCACAATGGGAAAAAGGGGATGCTCCGAGCTGACAAAAGAAAAAAGTTTCACCATGATGAGTCAGGCACTGGAATTGGGGAAATCTCCATCCTCAGAGGTTTTTGAGACCCAGCCAGATAAAGCCCTCAGCAACCTAGTTCTGAATTCAGTGTCAACTCTTCTTTGAGCAGGAAGCTGAACTAAAGATCTCCTGAAGTCCCTGAATTACTCTATGAAAATATCACACAAGAAATAGAGTAAGAATTCCTGAAATGCTTTTTAAAAACTACAGAGAAAGAGACAAATTTTGACAATTCATCACCCAAACATAAATGGCAAAAATCCTGACTAAAAAAAAGTATCAATTTACAAGTATTTGCCATAAGCAACAATATTCCATTATTCAGCTAACCGGCACATTTACTCCTAAAAATTGCTTTGGAAGCTGGTGAAATTCAGCACCTGGCTTCTTGGATGTGGCACTTCCTGCAGTTGGAACAGGCTAGTTCCATACAGAGAAATCAACCTTCTAGCAGATCTACCAAGCTGGAGGGGGTATGACTATATGTGTGTGTGCAATATATGAGCCATCTATCTCCAGAAGTAATTAAAAAAAAAAGTAAAAAAGAAAAAAAATCCAACATCAGTCAGTGTATTTCCTGACATCAAGCTAAAGACCACCAACAAAGAGCTTGAGCTGCAAGAGGATTCCCAGTAAAGGCATGCAGGAACACAACATTTAGTCTCCTCTCCCCTTCCCATTTGCTCTTCACCCTGTTAAGTCCATCAGCATGGCACCAAAAAGCCAGCCTGGTGCATACAGAGGTATGTAGCAAATACAAAAGCAAACACATACACACGCACAAAGAGAAAAGAGACAAAGCATAAAGAAGCATGCACAAACCCAGAACAAACGTGCAAGCCTCTCTACTTGTGGTATCTGGACTCAATTAGGTGGAGAGAGATGCAGATAAAAACCATGCCAAGTTACCTTCAATGGAATAAGAATAATGTGCTGGGCTGGGCTGGCTTGTGGTTAACCCTGTAGTGCAGGTAAGAATACTGTGCTGACTTGTAGATGGAGTCTGAATTAAACCACTTTCAGGTTTCATACCTGGCCACAGTGCACCTGAATCAGATAAATTGGACCAGTTACAAACAAATATGCTGGGACCAAACAGCATGCTGCTACCTCAGATTAAGATTTTTGCTTGTCACAAAAGCAAGTAACAAATCACACATGGAAAATATTTGATTTCTGCAACAGTAAGTGCTGTCAGGCTGTGCATGGATTAGAGCTGCTGAAAAAAATGGCTGAAAAAGAGAAAATTAGGAGCACCAACAAGACCAATTCCCAAAACTTTCAGCTAAAAATCCGTTAGTGTCACAGTAAAGTTCACTGCCACGTTGGTATAAAGGAACTGCTAATCCCTCTGATGTTTGGGCTGAGTTGCACAGCACTGCAAATGACCTCAGCTATTACATAGTGAGGCTGAAGTTGGTATCCATTAAAGTCAAGGCTTCTACTACTTCACTGGGCTTTGGGTTGAATATTTTAAAACAAGCCACAAAGCAGTCTTTTTCATAGGCTGACAACAGCAAATATACAGCTCAAAAAAAAGGGAAAAAAATCCAAATGTTTCTTCTAGATTTCCTGCCATTCTGGAAAGCATTTCTAACAACACTAGGCAAAGCACAGAGGCAGCAAAGTGACTGTAATTCATCCATACAGGGCACATACAAGCAGTGTGGTTTTAGCTCTGGTGCTGTGTAAGGTCTAGTCTACTGCACTAACAGTGATGAAAACAGCATCCGACTGAAGTAGCTCAGCTCAGGCCTGATTCTTCAAGGCTCTTCGGGCTTTTAAGTGTTTCCAGACCTACAGCCAAAGGCAAAGGCATTTCTCCCTGGCCCTGTTAGAAAGCAGGAATTGGTTGAGCGGATGTACTTAAAAACAAGCAGGGGTGTGCGAAGCAGAGGGACAAAGGACATTTGGAGCTAGACACAAAATTCAGGGCCAGCAGAAAGACCGCATTCCTTCTTAAAGCCCCCAAAAACAGTACCAAGGCTGCAAAAGCCACCCCCCAGCCTTTCACCCACTCTAGCAGGACAAGCCACGGGCTGTGAGCTCCAGTCTCTTACCCAGAAGACAAGGGACACCCTATAGAGCTGGACAAGAGCAGCAATTCCAAGAGCTCACTCCATGCCGCAGCTTTTTCAGAATTAAATTCTGCAACAGCTCTTTGATTTATTTACATACCTGATCTCAAACTGTCACCTATAAGTCAAATTAAGTCATTCACCTATCTGTACAGCCACACCAGGGTTTTGATTCTTCGACTCTCAAGTTGCATCTTCATTACTGTTTCAAACCTTGAGAACCATGATAATTAGCAAACAAAAGGGAAAGACTGATTTAAGAAAGATTGTAGATATATTGCAGAAACTCCAGAATAAAACATATGGGAAGCAGATCCTCTAAGGAGAATGGGAGTAGCTGTATTTGTTTAGTCTGGAAAGGGAGTGCCACAATCTTCAAATAGGTAAGTAGTTTTTAGAGGAGACAGTAACCAACAGTTCCTTACAGTGCAAGATAGATGGACAAGGAGCAGACAGCAACATAATGAGATGGTCACAGGACACACCGAAGTGTCTAGTAACTGTGACAACAAAACACAAACCAACTGTGAATGCTGTATGACAATTATCACATGAAGAGTGTAACACCAGGTCAGACACACACATCAGAGGTCTTCACAGGGCTGGCTGGATGCGAGTGCAAGAGCTGATTCAGGTCATGTGTTAAGGCATCTTTCAGCCCCTGCTTTCCATGACTGTCTCTCTCTTTGTTATCTCCCAGTATAGACATGTTCTAGTTTCCATAAAGCAAGGCACACTCTTGGCCTGGTGGCAGATGTCCTTCCCTCTCGTTCTGCAAGACAGCATTTATAAGCTAGCACAGCCTTGAGGATGACAGAGAGGAAGCCAGGCGATGGGGAACAAAGACCTCTCCACATCCAACAGCAGCACTACAGCTGGGGCAGAAGAATGTCACAGGACACGTGCACATATGTAGAAAGATCCCACACAGGATAGTCCACCACTTGTACGTTTTTCTTGAGTTAATGTAAACCATCGCATCCACAGTGTTTCTAACACCAACTTACAGCCACACATATGCAGCTGTATGTAACTACTCTTATTTTAATGCTTCTTTAATAAAAGAACTACAGATTACAAGTAGAACAATGCACTAAACACCACCAAAAAAGTATTACAGCACAAGGAAAGGTGACAAACTGGCAAGAGCACAGGTCATCTTTTCTCTGAAAGCAACATCCTGACCTGAGTGATCTGAAGACTGTGCTTGTGTTTGTCAGCTTGCTTGAATTTCATACCTAAAATATGCCTACTTTGTTCCAGTTAGATAATCCCTGACGCTTTCTTTTTGGCGTAGCAACAAATACATGGCAGAAAGCCATGCAAACCTCTGGAACAGGCCCTTTGATGCCAGTAAAACATCTGAGCAAGCTGGTCAAGTCCTCACTGGCTCAATGGAGATTTTGTGAGCAGAAACAATTTGTAGTATTTCCTCTGCACTGTGCATGTTCAGTCCTCTACCCTCCACCTGTCCATCACACCATGCAAAGTCAGTATGATCGATCAGGTGCCGCTGCACTGTGATTCCCATTACTGGAAATACAACTTTTAACATCTTACTAACACTTAAATTCAGACTAAAAATTCAGGTATTTAATAATAGAACTCAAAATCCATACCAAGACAAGGCAGTAACTGATCACATTTCATAAGATCTTTAACAGACAAAAGTTCCCATGAAGTCAACAGAAAATGCTGATCTCTTGCCTAGGCCTTCAGAAGAATTTCCACTATTACATTCATAGTACAACACTGAAGCAACTAAGTACCCCCAAATTCCAGAGCCTTTTGATTAAAAAAAAAAAAACAAAAAACCACAAACACAGCCCTCTCAAATACAGCCACCACCATTATCACCAACAAAACATCACACACACACAAAACACTAAGAAAAACCCCTACAGCCTCCCTCCCACAAAAAATTTTAGAGATAAGTCTAAAACACCCTTTTAAATTTCTTGTCCTAATACTTCAAAGGAGTATTCCACATATTTACACATATTTGCTTTAAAAAAAGAAGTGACACAGTAAAATACCTAAGAACATACAAACCAGCCTCAGCGTGCCGTTCACAACAAACTATCAATGAACACTTGTTTATTTTATATTATTTTATTCATTTAAAAAATGCAGAAAACCACCAGACACTGTTCAGATACAGCAAAACCAGTGCAACAAGGCACTGAAACCAAAGTGCAGGCACCCAGGGAAAATAAGTACGTTCCAGCAACCATAACATGGGGTGGGGAACAGTTTGTAGGTAACAGACCATTGCGACAACACCCAATGCTATGTCCACACAAAAAGGCAAGGAGCAGAGTGTTTCGAAAGATAGCAGGCAAACCATACTGGCAACTGAAGACTTGGGTACGGACACAGAATCAGACTTCTCCGCACTTGTTAGCTTTCCAGAGAAAAGCTCTCCGGGAGGAATGAAGGGAGCTCAGAAAACACGACAGGCAGAGACCTTCAGCTCTCCAGGACACATAACACCAGGTCCTTGCCCACTAGAAACCCTGAGACTGCCATCATGCTAGGTGGTGGGGGGGTTGGTGGTTTTTAAAAATCTCTGAAATGGCAGTCATACTTGAACCTTACTGGCAGGGGCTGAGCTAGAACTTCTATAGAAGCAGCAAATACCAACAGCCACCCAAATGACCCTATTCTCCTGAAGAGCCTTGTGTTCCTAATAAAACAGCCCAACACTTACATCCCTCAAAGCTCCCACTTCATGGTATTTGAGTGATCAGTCAGAACAATGTATCTCAGCATTAACACAGGGAAAATAAGATTTGGGAGATACTGTTTGATCAAACCCTTGCGTCCCAGTTACTATAAAACCATTATTTTTTTCCTAAGGATCCCTCAAATCACAAGAAAATGCCTCTTCATGAATCCCAGGTATATATATGAAAAAAAAAAAAGGTAGGTATGTAGATTAATTTTACATATTTACCTTTCTCATAAAGATAACAATTTGTGACATATTACTTTAAACAGACCTAATAATGTAACTTATGTAAAACTGAGCCTAGCCGTATCATCTTTTCTACATGATCTTTCAAAAATGCAATGCCAGATCAATTTTTCAGTAATTTATATAAAAGTCCTTGCTGTGTCAGCAGCTAACAAAAGCCATAAATGTTGAAATGTTGCTGGTTTTATTCAAACACATCTAGTTCTTCAGCTAAGGAAAAATTCATCCTTTTACACTTCAAGGTACTAAGATTTTAGCACTACAGATAAATCTGCAAGAGGCTCTGTTCATTGAGCATGACCACAAGCCCCTGAGACAGACACTTCATGGTTACCCCACGGCTGCGCAGCTCTCTGACAGCACACGTGGTGCTCCCCGTGTTACCTGCGTGGAAGGGTGATGCTCTCCCTTCTCATTACAGCTAGGCGCTAAGTGGCAAAACAACCTCTGTCACCATGCACTTTTAACAGCTGGCAACAATATACAATATTTACATATGAAACCAAGCAGGACAACATAAAAAAAAATGAAAAGAGAAGTTAAAATGTTATTTTTTAATAATCAGTCATAAAATTTCATACATGATAGTCAGTCATGTTTTTTTCCCCGAGTGCCTGACACTTTAATACACAGAGTACAAGGAAAGACCAGGCAGCTCCTTTCACTAGCTAACCCACCCAGAAGTTAGATGTTTCTGTTGGCACTACTCATCCTCAACTCCCTTTACACATCATGGAGAAAGATGGTCATTATCTTCTAAAACAGACCACCATCCCAGAGTTGTGTCTCTCTCTCCATGCACTATAAAGGAAGCACAGGGTGAATAGCTCAACCCTGTCATCGAGCTTTAGCTGCTCACGTTATAACAAGACTCTTACACTTCAAGCATTTGCAAAAACTGGAGCGGCTAATAGAGGGCTCAAGTATTAGAGCAACTTAAGCAAAATTATTTGCCTAGTAAACTTAGAGACATTTTAGCATGAAATCTACATTTGGTGAAAGATGAAATAATAAGAAAGTCTTAATCCTGGCCAGCAAAAAGCAAAGGGAAAAACACCTTCAGCAGAGATGCTGTAGTATCGGGTCCTGGGTGATTCCACTGACAAGGAAACTGCACAAACACAGCTATACCACAACTGCAGAAAATTATGATCCTAAACTAAAAACCATCTGGCAAGCTTCATGGGGAGACATCCAAATTAATGGCCAGGAAAACAGCTTTGTAAGGAATAATATTGTATCATCTTAATTTTTATAATTATAATTATTTGTAGATACAGATCTACAGTTTAAGTTAGGCACGTGCTCGCCTATAAACTCTTCTCTCCAACATGCCTGGTTAAGGTTAACATTGGCTTTTTAATGAGACATAGACAATAACTGCAGGCACTGAAAAGTCTTTGAAAAGTTACTTCTTACCAAAAGGAGGTAGTCCATAGGTTTGGGTGGTCTGCGGGTAGATGGTGTAGGGCTGAGGCTGCTGTAGTGCTTGGTACTGAGTCTGACCAGGGTAAGGGCTCATTGTTTCCGATACAGGTACAGAAAGGATATGTGCATATGGCCTTATTAAAAAGAAAGAACAAAAGTGAAACAGAACTATTTACATTATGCATCTTTCAGCCTCCAAACCAGAAGGCACATAAAAAATTGCTTGAGGAAGAAGAAACAATACACACTTGACGTGCTCTGAGCATAATACCTGCTTGTGTTTCCCAATCCAACAGGCTCTTGGTTTTACATATGCTGCCTGTTTCTTGCAGTGACAGCGGGGGAAACTCTCTCCTCAACGAAGCCAGAGCACCAGTGCTTATTCCAGGGCTGGGAGGGCAGGGTGAGAGGGGAAGAACAAACTCCCCATTCCAGCAGGCATGAGCAATTAGTTTCACTTATCATGCCTCACAACATCAAATCTAAAGCTAACACAATATAGTAGTTTGTGTCAAAACTACTGGAACACACAAAGAGACTACACAAAAGCAAGTGGAGGGGGTTAAGGCCTACTATGTGCTGCAATGGGAAGAACTATTAAAATACCCAAATATGGTAAATGACCAGAAAATTCTATATCCCCCTTGTATTAATTTATGTCCAGTTTGTTTATTCCTCAAATATTATGGGCATTATGCAGCAAGACTATTGTATTGTTAATTACTTGAAGTGACTCATTTATCCTTGTGATCATAAAACAACAGCCACTGAAGTCAAAGGGTTACTTCTATCAGCTTCAGTGTCTGCAGCAATGAGTATCTGTTGCCAGAAGACAAGCATGATTTACACTTTACAGCAATACAGAAATGCATAAAGATGCAAAAAGGTAACTTCAGAAAGAAGTAAGAGTTACAGAATTTAGTAACAGTTGTTCGACTTACTTTGCAGAATACATTTGTGAGGTATAATCATTTGATGACCTTGGGATATAATCAGTGCATGTCATAACTGGAAAAAAAATAGTTTGTACAATTACATAGCTGATTTCAAAACCCAACAAATAATGACAATTAAATATCACCATGCACAGTACATTTTAACCAAGACACAGGACTTACAAAGTTGTTTTTAGTGCCTTGAATAGCGGTTTCAAAGCAAATTCTCAAAACATGCACTGTTAAAACAGCTCAAAAAATGTTTTTCTTGCCAGTTTCACAGCAGGTAGATGATTCAGTCAATACTACTTCTCCCTTTGTAACAGTGCTCTTTCTCTTTACCAGCTGGTACCATCATCTTTTGCAATTGTCATGATAAAACGTTGATTTCAGCCCTGCACAAAACCTTGCATATGCCAAAGGGTCTTCATCTGTGCCAAGCTTAAAATTTCTTTTCTATGTCCTGGAGCAGAGACCAAAGCAGATGGTTGTTTTGCCAAGCTTTCCTCTTCCCCTTTCCTTATCTACCTACTCTTCCCAGAGCACAGCTCCAGCAATCTGTCTTTCCTTTAAAAAGGAGCGGCTCCCAGCCCAACAAACTTAATCCCACATATCAAGTGACAACAGGCTGAGTTGCAGTGCACAAGGCTCAGAGTCTTGGAAAGTTACACATTACATATTTTCAATCAAATTGAGCTAATTTACACTTACGCATAAGTATGGGCAAAGGTATTCTACACAGGAATCCTACTTTCATAACCTCCAGCTCCATTTTTCCAGAAGAAAGGATACATTCCACCTCTCACTCACTATGTAACCTTTTTATTTTCTGCCTCAGTTTCTCCTCCATTTATTTCATAAGGAATTTCTGCAGACATTCAAGACAGTTCAGAGTCTAAGACTAAGTGTATGGCATATTATTACAAAAGACCCAACCAGTTGTGTAGAGATAATGATTTATAAAAATAACATCTTTTACAATAGGCATTATTATTGATCAACTCAACCCCTTCCCTCAAGAAAAATCATGTAACAAGGCGGATAAGACATAGCAGTACCCAGCAGCAAGCTGGGGGGGCAGTGACACAAAAATATTTGTTAGGAAGAGGTATTTGCTTACCATCAGGCATTAACACTTTGTAAGCACCCCAAACTTTCACTTTACAACTGATAGTGAGGACAGGCTAAGGATTACAAGGAGGAGACAAAGCTTGTGCTTCATGAAGCAAAGTAACGAGACAGTGGAAGAAAAGAGGAAAGACAGTGGGAGCAGAATTCCAGAAGATACTTACTCTCACTGGACATGGGGAGGTTTGAACCAAGGCTTGAAGATTCAGGTTTCTGATCACTGACTTCTGCGTTGCTCACATGACTGCCAGGACAAACAAAGACTAATCATTAGCATTATGAATTATTAAATTAACAACATCCTTGAGCATCATAACTCCTGGGTTCAACCTTCCTAACCCAGGCAAACTGACTCTTAACAAAAACTACCTCTGCATGCTGATATTTCACACAGAGATCTCAAGAGAGAGATTTGCAGCTGTAATTAGACATTAAACTGTCATCACCTCCAGCACATTTGCTAACCAACGGGTCTCTCAAGATAAGGCTGTAGCTTCACTCAGCAGACCCAGGCTTGGCACTGCCGCCTGCAGTGAAAAGCATGAACTTCTTTCCTGCCGCCTAGGCTTGGCCTCCAGCCCCACTACGTCAGCTCAGGCACCCATCAGGCTAACATGAGAGTTTAATTTGCTCATCCAGCACAAAAACTGTGCAGTTTTTTCTGCTGGGATACTGAATAGATTCAGCTTATGAAGGGATCCAGCAAGCACCACATTCGGTGCACACTTGAGCTACAAGCAGGACTCCCCTTCTCAGCAGCAATATGCAGTTATATTGGCTCAGAATAACACACAAATGCCTCAAATCTTCATGAAAAGCTGTGTTGCAGAACTAGCAATAATAAAGCTAACCACAACAAGGCAATCATAAAAGGAAAAAGCAGTTTCATTAAGAAATTATCTCATTAAGAAATTATCTGTACTTCCTACTCTACATATGAAGAAAGCAAACATTGACATGTAGCTGAAATGGTGCATGACAAATCCAAAATAATCTAGTAACCTGCAAACATTTCTTAAGTACAGAAGTGACACCCAGTTCAAGGATGCTTCAACACTGGTCTGTGGGGACAAACCCAGCAGTGAGGCAACCTCCCACGGACACGGGAGTCTGCGACAGCAGGGCCACAACATCCCACTCACAGCGGCATTTACTGGGCTCCTGCAGGCAGGGGGGAAGGAGGAGGAGTGTGTGCTATCAACCAGCAGTGCCCTGGTAGCTCCATCCTCCCCTGGACTGCTCCTCCAGGCTGTGACAGGCCCCTGTGGTCCAGCTCCTTGCTCCAGGATGGGTTGGAGATAATCCCCTGGGGCAGGAGGTGCAGCTTTTGTGGGACAGGGTAAGGGAGGAGTTGGCTTGTGAGTGCCATTGGGTTTGGTTATAAGGCAAGTGAGAGGGAGTGAAGCTTGACCAAAATGCATAATCTGTCTTTTTCCCCCTGAAAAACTTTATAACCAAAATCCTTGGAAATCTTTCTCAATACTAGTAGGTGATCAAACTTCCATCATAAAAGCATGTTTTGCAAGATAATAACATATTTCTACACAGACTCAGGGTATCTGTCTACTACCATTTTTGGTGGAAAAAAAATGCTGTGGTTCTGTGGCACAGGTAGCTGTTAAATGGCATGCAGTTTGCAAGCTGCTCATTGTGATCACTTCCTGCGGAAAATATTAGATAAAATAATAAAGTAATATAATAAACTAATAGATAAAATAGTGTTGCTGACCATATGATACCAGTCCATGTTTCTGCCCTCCTTCTCACTGCTGCCCTTCAACACATGCACCTGTGGCTCTTGGGACACATCCATCCCAAGTGCTCTTACCATCATTTACAACTTTTCAATTCTCATGGACTCAGAGAAAAATTCTCACTTGCACTGGGGCTGCCTTGCACCACCAAGCGTGCTGCGCAGACCAGCCTGACCAGCAGAGCATGCTGTATTCACAGCAGCACTAAGGCCCTTACAGGGGTGCTTAAGCTCCCCAGAGAGACGACCCTCACTGGGTACAGCCCTTTCACACTTCCACAGTGCGGCTAAAACAAATACAGCCGGAGTACTGACATCAGCTGAGTATCACGTTGGCTGAGAAGAAAGAAGTCTAATAAATTATTTTAAACCTTTCCATAGGTCAAACTTAAAATCATATATAGTTTTATCAAAATAGGGCAATAATATTTAAACAGAATATTTAAGCAGGTTAGAAATGCAATTTTATCCCCCCCCCTTCTATTTTTAAATACTATATAAGGATGTTTGCACTTGAATCTGGTGGCTACTGGTGCCTGCAGGAAAGCTGTGATTGTGCTAAAGCAGGGTAATGAGCTGAAGGAGAATCGACACCATTCACTCCAGCGTGTTCAGACCTGCCCGTGCTGCCCTCAGCTCCTTTGTAGCTAATACAGAGAAAGAATCCTCCTAGGACATGGTTCATCTCACCTCATACTGGATAGAAAGGGAGCTTGCAGTGATTAGCTCAAATTTGTAGCTTTTAGACATATAATGAACCTCACACTGTTTGTTCACTGTTTCCTGTTAAAGTATTCCCTTCGATTTAAAAAAAAAATAAATGTATTAATGTCCCCATTCAGGGCTTCAGAATATCACGTCAACTCCTCCATGAATGGCACACAGAGTGTTTCCTCCTCACTCATACTGGGATGTCAGAGGCTCCAAAAAGAAATCTTTCTTCACAGTATTCGCTACTACTCACAGGAACAGAATAAACCCTAATATAGCTATTCTCACTATATATGATAATAGTGATTAATTCCTAAATATGACATACATCAGAAAGCATCTATTGAGGCTAAAAATAGTACAATGTAACAGCTTTAAACCGAAAAGGCTATCAATTTGAGAAGGTTTAATTTCTCCAGTTATCCACATAGTTTTGCTGAGAATCATAGCACAGATGATATTAAAATACTGAGTCTCACCAGAATGAATGCCCACCAAAAGTGCATGTTATGTGCTGTACTTGACAGTCTCATCAGATTCTGTGAAAAACAGGATGCTTGATGATGCAATTAAGACTCTTTTTAGCCACTTTTATGGAAACTTAATACCAAAGGGCCAGTTAATTTTTTTTATCGGTAACTTGATCTCAAAATTATGTCAAATACAAAAGTGACTTATATTTGCCCTATCTTTGTAAAAATAAAGTTATATGCAAACTTCTAAAATGAAAGCTTATAATGATAAGAGAACATTAATACCTGTTCCATACTAAAATCATATTCAAAATTACATACCTCAAGCTTTGTTCTCTGGGTTCCTGCATCTTGGCTTTTTTCACCTGCAAAGACAAAAATGTTCAGAGATACAACAAACGAGAGCCGTCCTTGACAGAATCTATGCACACAGACCTCCATTAGCAGATCGCCACCGGTTACTATAGAGTTCGCATTAGTGTTTAAATACAGAAAGCCTTGCACAGCTAACCAGTGTAACCATGGGCTCTTCATCTCAAAACAAGCTTTTTCCTAATTAGAAAACAAGTGCTAAAGCTGAATGTGTTAGCAAAATTGCCATGTTATTCAAGTAAGTAACAGATGATGGGATATACAGATACAAATGTCTGATAAAGACAATTATGGAAATTGAATAAAGCAGCCATAAATTTTTAAGAAAATCTTATTCTATATAGATTCAGCACATAATAAACTTGGGTCTTTCACTATTTTCCCCCCTATATTTAAATATTATATGAGCTAGGAACTTAAATATTTTTTTCTTTAACAAATTAGTTTGTATTTTCATTTCTTAGTAAAAACAATACAGCCTTTGTTCTGTTTTTGTAGGTGGCCAGCTGGATCCAGTTCCTGTATAGGGTATCACACAACAGAAAGCACTGGCTTGAACACAAATTTGGTTTTATGCATGCAGGCTACAAATAGTACTTTGAAGTCCTCGGCAGGATGACAGGGTTAGCTTCTGTAGCCTGCAGTCTTTTGAGTGAGATGCTCCTGTGATATCCTGGCTTTCCTTTCCCACACCTTCTCCCTCTAGCAGAAAGTTTTACAGCCTTCCAGCTTTCTGGAGCATGTTTAGACACCAGCCTTGCTGCTTCGGTACCCAGCTGCACTCACCGTTCCTCCCAGTCCCCCCAGGGCCCTTAGCAGACAGCACTGTTTAGCACATGTCTTCTTGAACGGGGTCTGGGAAGGTACGTGCTGGGTATCAGGCAGCAGGGATGTGAGCCCCCCGACCCGGGTACAGTGGTCAAAGACAGGCTGCTGCCACATACGAAAGCTGCTAGCATAAATGCCTCACCAGGTTATTCACGTTTGTCTCTCAGGTGAGTATAAGCCAGGAAAATGCAATTTGAGCATAAGAGGTCAAAATGTGCTCAAAAATTAAAAAAAACAAAACAAAACAAAACAGGTGAATTTCTATTGGAGAGGGGGAAATAGGAGGCAGAGGTACAAAAAAGGATAAAGGCTCAAGGCAGCAGCAAGGGGAAAGGAGTAAGCAAACAGTAAGGATGGAAAGGAGAAAGTGGAAAGGACAATCTTCTCTGCTTGATGAAGTTCCCAGTATTTTATAGCTCAGTTTGCTTTCACTTCTGTACTAGTCTTGCCAGCAGCTATTCCCTCCAGCATTTCACAGCAGAACACTACAAACTTCATTAGCACTCATCACACACACAAAAAAGGCAAAGGCAATGACAAAAGACTATGGCAGTACAATGGCTTAGGTCTCACACAGCCTCAAATCTTCTGGCATTCATCACTTCAACCTGAGCAAAGAGCTGGTAACACTGGCACTGACATTAACTCCTGTTGTGGTTCTTCAGCCCCACAGATTCATAGGCTTCTCCAGGGCCCTTTCCCCTGCCTGGCCAGGAATACAGGCAGTGGCTGCCACCACCATGAGGTCCAGGGCTTAAAGGACCTGTATCAGTCTTCCTCACGTAGAGACGATGTTAACTAAAACACTAAGAGAAAGCAGACTAATGTTCCCCCAGCTCCCTCGAGCACCAGATTATTGGAGCATGGCTGCTGCCCATCCATGGTGCCTCTCAACTCCTTTCGGTGACTTTCTGTCCTGCAGCAAGTGCTCCAGCTCTTCCCCGGGACCCTGTCACCTGCTCCTGAAGCAGGGACCTCAGCCACCAACACTGCACCAGATAGCTCAGGGTGCCAAACTGCCCTCAGGGTTCTTAAGGAAAGGAGATAGAAAAAAAATGAATCACATAAAAAAAAGTAGCAGCAAACTCCTTCAGACCAAAATTATATTGAGGATAAAAATGTAAGTTAACTCAGAGTTGGCAAGTTAACTCAGAGTTGGCAGCTTGAATTTTAGATTTCACAGGAGCAATGCTGGTGTTTCCAGTCAGGTACTCGGTAAGATCTGGCTTCTTCGCGTCAATAGTTTTTTTTTTAATATGGGAGGTGGACAGAGAAATCAGCTCACATACCAAAACAACACACAACAACAACAACAAAACACAAAAAAAGAAGTGAGGTTTTGCAAGAACACATTAGTATTGATGTTTTCATCACAACCAGAATGGAACAGCCGTTCCTAAAACACCTCCTGATAGTCAGGACTTGAGCTTAAAGCACTGCTCTGCTGCTCTGCCAACTTTGGTCCCTGGACTGGAACTTCTATCTTGATCAGTATCTACACTGCAAGCCCATCTTGCCCTGCCCTCCTCTGATGGGAGATCTTCCTCCTCTGCCAGAAGTGTGCCCTTGGTGTTGTAGAGAACAATATTTTAAATGAGTTTTCCTCTAAGTCAGTAGTTAATTTCATTTTTAAAAAAATCAATAAGTATCTGGCGAAGGTTTCATACTCTCTTTAATGGCTCTGCAACATGGGATAGACAGTGCAAGTATGTAGCATAAGTCAAGCAAAACAGCAATTTTGAATTTCAATTTATCATGTCCCTGCCTCAACTGGCTAGTTTCACAGAAGAATCACAGAATCACTAAGGTTGGAAAGGACCTTCACGATCATCAAGTCCAACCATCAATCCATGTTCCCTAAACCATGTCCTGAAGCGCCACATCCACACGTTTTTTGAACACTTCCAGAGATGGCGACTCAACCACCTCCCTGGGCAGCCTGTTCCAATGCCTGACCACCCTCTCGGTGAAGAAATTTTTCCTAATATCCAATCTAAACCTCCCCTGGTGCAACTTGAGGCCATTTCCTGTCGTCCTATCGCTGGTTACTTGGGAGAAGAGACCAATAAGCTTCAGCTAGTCTTCATCTCTGCAGGTTTTTAGAAGAAATTCTCCCTAATGCCTTAAGCTAAGCAATAATATTTACAAAATCTTGAAACTTCAGTGGGATACAAACCTCATTTTCTACCCATCTCTAATCACTCCAGTTTACGCTAAAAATTTAAGTGGGAGGGAACAGTTTTAAACGTAGTCTTTCATGGACTTGGAAGGCATTTTTTCTCTCTCCTGCCACATGTCATAAAACATATTTAATGTAGGAACAGCACCTAGTAACAAGAACTTAAAGATGATGTTCAGGGCACAAGGAGAGAGTGCTGCCATGATGCACTATACTCCCAGCTGAGCCCTTCACGATCACACTCCAACCCCAAACCCTGCGTGGGGCACCTCTTCATCCTCTCCTGCATGCATCTTAGAAAAGGCTGCCAAAACCTTTTCAAAAACCTTTCAACACACACTCCCCTCTGAAAACCTCTGCAGAGATGCCGAGGGTTTTTTTGTCCTCTCTCAAGTGACAGGACCACAGTTTGAAGACTTTTCATGCAGGAGAAGTGAATTCACTCTTTTTAAAAATAAGAAAAAAGGAAAAGAAAGAAAATAAATGAAAACAAGGAAAAAGATGTGGTCTACCTCAGTGATTCAAGTTTCAGCTTTAGCAGCTTCAGGCATTATCTCACTAAGCTGTTCTGCTGTACCACAATGAATGACATGTCTCATAAGGTACATCTTTGCTCCTACCTCCACCTTTCTATTTCACTATCAGTTTTGGGCTTATGTTGATTTAAAAAAAAAAGTCAAGTGACACAGTTTAGCTGATCCCTGCTTCCAAATCACAAATTTCTGTAACTGAAAATACAAATTATTCTCTGTGCTGGAAAACTGTTTCTGCCCCAGATCTACCAGTGTTGGAGTTCAGTTGTATTTACAAAGTCAGAATCAAAGAAACCAAGTTTTCCTCCTGACGTCAACAGCTGCTCTATGACTGAATCCAACTCTCAGGCTGATATTCATAGGCTAATTTCCAAGCCTGAGCAGACCCAGGGAAACCCCCCCACTCACAGCTAGCCAACAAGCAAGAGCAAATGCTGCCAAAGCCATTTGAGACTGTGGCAGTGCTGTTGTGAACAGAGGATTGCACACAAGTCAAGAACACAGAATTTTATTGCAAACCCTTTGCCAATTTCAATTAAGAAAACTCTTCAGCCCAAACATATGACCATCATTTTTTTCTCTACACTTTTGGCAGCACGGGGTCTTTCTGGAGCCCTTTCCAACACCACGCTCTCCCTACTACTGACTCTGGCTTGCTGTTGCTGTCTGGTATGAGAAGTCATTGCAAACAGAGAGCAACCCAGTGGATGCCTGCAATGAGTGTAACACAAGTTCACCCTCCCTTATAAACAGGAGATTTTTGTAATTTTCTAGCATTAAGGATTAAATAAAGTACTATAAAAATCAAACAAATACATCCACAATGCATTCAACAGGTGAGAGATTACTATACAGGATTACTTCTAAAAACTAATCCAGATTAATAACTTATTATAAATTAGTAAGGTCAGGAGGTCACCTTTCAATCACTTCCCCCAAAAATTCCCTTTACTCTCTTATTTCCCATGTCTGTTTCTGTGTTCTAGTACTATGGTGTGCACAGAAACTTTTCCTTCTACTTCAGACTTCAAGAGGGAAGAAACATTAAAAAAACAGAGACAAAAGTCATGCCTGTTTAACATACCAGGCAGCAGTATGCGGGGTAAGAAGTCTGACGTTCATTTAGAAAAGACACGCTGTATACATTTGGACCAATTACTACCATCAGTCCACACCTACACAAGAAAGTGACCTGATTTCTTTCTTCTTTCTTTCTCTTTTTTTTTTTTTTTTAAAGTAAAATACATTGACTTCAAAGCCTGATGATTTCTCCACAGGCTCTCTTCTGGATTCAGTTATCAACAGTTTGCCATAAACATTATTTTTTGAAGTAACATATTAATCTTGTTTCTATGATTAAGAAAAGCAAAATAATTTGGGAAAGGAAACAAGTTTGTACAATATCAATGCTGGGCTACTAGGCTGACAGGATTTTGCAATACTGACTTCAGTTTTCTTTTTTTTTTTTTAATTAGGGAAAGTAGCTTGTTTCAGGAATGGTCTCACTACAAAAAAAACCTAAAAGGCTGTTCTTTTAATTTTCTCCTGCAAGAATGTGCCACTATGCTCAAAATATCACCTCACTTACTAGTTATGATCAATGTAGTCTCATATTCCACCTCAGAATGACTGACTGGAATGAGATACTTAAAAGAAATTACCAAGAAAATCTTCAGATGAAAATTACAGCAGAATCTGCTTACAGAGGATGCTTTCACGTAACAAAAATTAGCTGTACCCTGTTTCTCATGCCCTGAAGAATAAAATTTTATAAAGACAGTTTTCTTTATATAAGGATGTAGTCTTTTTTTTAATACACACATTTAATTAATTTCTAAATCTTACGAATATCTGGAGTTCAAATTATATGTTTTTGCTGATTAGTTTCACATTTTATACATATTGACTCAGGCATATAATCTGCACATTGTGTCAAGCATTATTTTGAACAACTGTAAATTTACATTTCCATTTCATTCAACTTTATTCCTAAGTCAAAAAATTGCATAAATGACATTACAATGTATTTTCTAACTAAAATAACTGAAGAACATAAAATTCTGACATTACAAAAGCATCAGTCTTTTCAATGAGAACATTACCAATTGCCCTCAGCATATTACTCTATTTTTTTGTGCATTTGAAAAGGTCTCCAAAATTAAAATAAGTTTCACTTTCAAAGTAACTTGGCAGTTTCTTATTGAGTTTGCATTCAGGTTTAATTTGTAAATATAACATTAATACAAACTTTTTTGCTCAATTCCTATGCTATTATGTTTTAGATATACAAATTTAAATTCATATCATACTGTATTAATAATTGCTCTACCCAAAACTTTTGTGATGTGATATTATCAGTTACTGATAATGCAGACAGTATTGCAAATATGTAAGAAGTCTGGACAGCAATTTTTAACTTAAGACATGCTTCCCTACTCAAACACACCATTAAATTAAGAATTAAAAAAAAAAAAGCTTTCCACCTGTGGAGATGATGATTCATGGGACCTTTTCAAGGTCTCAAGCACAAGAAGAATTAAATACTATATACACTGTAATAACCAGCATGCTGATTCTGTCATTAAAATAGTGAATTCTCATTTCTCTAGAACAGGTTTGAAATAGTCTGATTTTCTGAGCACAGCAAGTAATTATTTTACAGATAAACACTACAGAGGTTAAGCATACGTAACCATTCCTTTTATTACTACTGCCTGTACAATTATAGTAAATTAAATGTATAACACACTTTCTACTAACAGTAAAATGATTTTTCACCTTAGATAAATATACTAAATATAAGCCTTATTTTCCATTATTAATTAAAATAACTGTATACTGGATCTGTGAGATCACCATTTTGTTTTATATGTTCATTTTTAGGCTTTTAAAATGTACTTACTGGTTGTTCAGGTAAGTCTTGTGGCTCTTCCATGGGTATTACTATTTTAACGCTTAAATGATTCAAACGTGTGTTCCTCAGCAGTCTTCAAAGCCTGTCAAAAAAAAGGTGTTCATAGCTTTATGTACTTTTGGGGGAGCTTATCATTTAGGCTATCAGGGAACATTAATCATTATATATTCCACCCACAAGCTTTCTAAACTCGTGTTGCCATCTCCCAAGTAAAAGACAAATTTCATATATGGAAAGATTTCATAAACAAGGGATTTAGCTTTAAGCTTCAAGATACAGACTTTTTTTTACACACGTGGCACATTTCTACATCATTTACTTGTACCATACTGACTACAGAAGCTAATGTATCAAATCAGACATGTGCACTGTGATTTTAAAGACACTTTAAACGATCAAGTCTGGTCTACTAGGTCAGTAAACAGTGTGATTCAATCTAACCTGTTAGAATATTTATCTAACAAACAAAAACAATCAGGACAAGACTGTACACCTAAATGTATTTACAGGCAGTACTGTTTATTACCAAATTTGCAATGCAAGTTTATTATTTCAACTGCACCTTTCAAAAAGAGAAGTTTGATCAAAATTTATAAAATAATTTTTATTTTGGAAGCTAAGTAACCCAGCAGCATTCAGCATAAAGACCTTATATACTATTCCAAAAAGCTGCTGTCCCCCAGGGTTTTGAAACCATGAAAAGGAAATTTTGCAGATTACTTTCACAACATGATTAATTTTTGCAATTTGCTGGGCAAAAGATAACGGCACTTGTCCTCCACAGCTTCCTACTCTGCCCAACCAATGTTCACGAACAGTGTGACCCATGCGTTCGATTGCTCTGCTTTCACCCTCGCATTTCAGAGCCAGTTTACTCAAAACAAACCCCAACGTCTTCAGACAAGCTCCATCTCAACTGCACCAAAAGCAAGTAAGTGCCTGCTCTCCCATCCCAGCAGAGCTGCCTCTTGCATACATACACGTGTGCATTACTGAACACACAGCAGAACGTAAGTAAATGACAAAAATGAGAAGAAATGCTGAAAAACGCTTAGTGGTTTGGATGAAACTAAATACAGCGATTTTCTGTGCTGAGGTACAACCCATATCTGCCTCCTCAGCCATGAAGGTTTTACTGTAAATCTCAGTGGAAATGCGAGAGACTGTGTACCCAGCTCTGCTTTCTCTCTGCCGTTCTGTTTTCCCATCCTGTCTGGAGCATTCAGGCACCTTCACATCATTAAGTTGTCCCCATGCAAAGTGACTAAACAAGTTAAGAGAAACAGCCTCCCAGCGTCCTGAAAACAACTGCTACTTTCCTCTCCTGGCCCCCAACAGACCTAATAGCACGTGCAGCCAGCCTGCGGTGGAGCACCACGTGCCGAGCATGGGGATGCTTTGCAGCCTGGAATAATTTCATATTAACCATGAAAACACAAAGGATTTCTTTTCCCTTATTTGAGGACAGGTGAAGGTCTTGCACGCTAGGGTATATCATATACGCCAGGGTAAGATTTCATTGAGGGTTTGAGTATTTTCCAAGGCTGCCTCCCCTAATCAAAGCTACTTACCTTTATTGCCTTAACTATAAATCAACTGAATTTACAGCAAGTCTCTTCAATAACTCAGATTCTTTTGAAATGACCCTATTCATACCACACACAAGAAAATATGTAATACAAAATACTACTGTCACCATCAGAGTTTTTCCTCCACCCGCTTTAAGTGGTTTTATTTTAAATATAAAAGCTTCCTTCCTTTTTACTTTTTGTAGGAATGCCAGAGAAAAATCAAGACTTAAGAGAAACTGTGGCATTCAAAGATCATGAATAGGAATGTAGAATGCAACGTCAAACAGCAAGAACATTTGAAATTGATACCAACGGGTCCCATCCTGTCCCTTGTGCTTCATTTTTATTATCTGACATTGTTTCATCGTGTAATTTCTTAAGAAAAATCCCAAACTAAACTCTTCAGTATGGAAAATTATTTCACTCACACTGTTTTCACTGAACCACACTGATCCATACAGCAGTAACTTCCCATTCCATGCTTTGTTTAAAAGCTGTGAGCAGTTCTTTAATTTTCCTTTTGAGAAGGATCTAAATAATTAGAAAGACAAGAAGATTCCCAAAGTCACATCAGAATACGTTAGTTACACTTGTGAACAAAACTCTCTTCCCAAATGAGTTTGCACCTTGTAGCACCTGAAAGCAAATGAAAGAACCAAAGCAGATGAGCAGTAACTGCTTGCCTAGATGGCAAGTGAAAACCTGACCTCTGGTGGCTTCATACTTTATTCTAGCATGAAGCTAGAATATTTTTATTTTATTCTACTCCATACCTCCAGAAATAGCAGCTTCGGCAGAAGACATCTCGCAAAGACCTAGTGCTCGTAGCTGTCATTACACAGAATCAGGCAGAACAAGCAGCAGCATGCGTTCCTGCGTGAAAGGGATGCACTTAACCAGTACACCTGACTAGCTAGGAGTGACTGGGTCTCTCTCCAGCAACGGTCTCACACAACACAAACAGTCTAAACTGCTGCTGAAGGAAGAGCTCCCGCCCCTCCTTTACCTCCAGGAACCCACTCTTGCTCGCTTGACACCCCTTGCTTTGTGGCCACCAAAGCACTGTGTGGCTGAACAGCAGTCTGTTGTTCAGGAATCTGACCTTCTTCTAAGGAAACAGAAAGAAAAAAGGAAAAAAAAAAAAAAAAGGAAAAAAAAGAGGCAGCCAAGCACAACCTTTCTGCTAAGCTGCTTCAGGTGGGATCAGCTCTGGTCTCACACAGCCCCGTGCTGGGGGAAGCCAGCAGGTTGGGGAACAGGCAGAGCATACAAGCAGGGCAGCAGGATGCCCCTTTTCAGCAACAGCCATAGTAAATGAAACCATAATTTTACCACCTTATTCATGTCTCACTTTGGCAAAACAGAGGACATAAAGTCACAGTGACATACATATGGCTCCACAGCCTTTCAACCTGTATCATCCACCATCAACCAAGTTCTCCCGCAGAGCAGCCACACGACTTCTGGTGGCTGGGCACGGAAAGCACTTGGACCACAAGCAAGGCCAGAGCCTCTCCCTGCCATTACCTCTGCGAGCACAGAGCTGTGGAGGGGAGCTGCCTGCCTCTCTCCTCCTGCAGGGACAGGCTGAGCACAGCTGCTGGCAGCTTTCAGCGCTAAGCTCTGGGGAGGAGGATCGGGGGAGCAGCTGCGCCGGCCACACATGTTTCCCTAACAGCGTCCTCCAATATGGCTGGTCCCCCCCTTTGATCCCCCCCGCTGCCCATCAGCCGGCTCCAGCCTGCGGGCAGCATACGGCCCAGGGCAGCACACCCTGCCCTCCGGCCAGCCCCAAGCAGCTCTGGGTGCTGCAAGCCGCTTCCTCGCCCGAGAGGAGAGGTACACACTGATGCACCGCCCAGGGATTCGGTTTCCAAAATACCAACCCAGTGCCATGCACCTGCTCAGCTTGAGCCACCTCAGTGTATTATCTGACTTCGCAAGCAGCTCACCATGAACAAAGGTGATTTTTAAAAACTGAAGAAAAACGCCACCAATGGTTGGGATTTTTTTTTGGCATCCCAAATATCAAAATTCAATTTTTAACTTACATAGAACTCAAGCAACTACACTTCAGATAAGCTTATCACACAGTTTCTATTACAGAGCATTTCAAAACCGTAAGTGACCGCAATAGAAGAGGTATCAAAGCAGATCCTCAATACCCTCAGTTCCACAGGGAGTCCAAATTGCTGCAGTTACACCCATGACAGTCAGTGTCAATGCAACCACCAGGCAGGAGAACAGTGACCGTCATCTGTCCTGCTCCGTGTCCCACGGGAGCAAGGCCACAGCTTCCCAAAGGCGACTGACGCTTGCTAATCTCGGAAGAAAAGAAATCGGTGATTAACAGGTTCAGGGGCAGCTGGGGTGTAGTCACCTTTCCCATCTATATATGGATTTATATTTGTGTGTGTGTGTGAGGGAGGTCTGAAAAGCAGATTCTGGTGGTAAGAATACTTCTGTGGGACACCGGGCTTGTGAATGAGAAAACCAGTACAAAAATGTAACTGAGTGTGAAAGAAGCCATCAAATGAGTTGCAACAATGAAAGAAACATTCAGAAAAATAAGTCATAGAATCGTTTAGGTTGGAAAAGACCTTTAAGATCATCAGGTCCAACCATTAACCTAGCACTGCCAAGTCCACTGCTAAACCAGGTCCCTAAGCATCACATCTACATTTCTTTTAAACACCTCCAGGGATGGTGACTCCACCACCTCCCTGGGCAGTCTGTTCCAATGTTTGACAATGATGAAGAAATTTTTCCTAATATCCAGTCTAAACCTTCCCTGGTGCAATTTGAGGCCATTTCCTCTCGTTCCATTGCTGGTTACTTGGGAGAAGAGACCAACACCCACCTCACCACAACCCCCTTTCAGGCAGTTGTAGAGAGCAAATAGGGCTCCCCTCAGCCTCCTCTTCTCCAGACTGAACAACCCCAGTTCCCTCAGCCGCTCCTCATGAGACTTGTGCTCCAGACTCCTCCCCAGCTCCGTTGCCCTTCTCTGGACACGCTCCAGCACCTCAGCATCCTTCTTGTAGTGAGGGGCCCAAAACCGAACACAGGATTCGAGGTGCGGCCTCACCAGTGCCGAGTACAGGGGCACAATCACTTCCCTACTCCTGCTGGCCACAGTACTGCTGATACAGGCCAGGATGCTGTTGGCCACCTTGGCCACCTGGGCACACTGCTGGAAACTGTCAAGTGTTTTGCTCACTGTCAAGTCAAAACACTATACTTTTTTCCCTTTATGGGGTGGTTTTCATTATTTACCTAATGAAAATTATTTTGTAATATGTTAATTAAACAACAGTTTTTATTTAATGTAGACTTGCTTTGAATAGCCATCCTGGTTTAATTCCAACTTGCACAGAACACCAACAATGTAAAATACCAAGGATACGTGTTTTGCACGTCATTTTATTTTGCTTGCTCAGTTTATGGAGA